GACGAATACGGACCGCAGATCCAGGGCACTAGCTGCGGCTGAGGCGCGCATGGGGACACCTGCAGCTGAACCCGAAGAAGCGGAAGAGCCCGAGGATCTAATCAAGCCTTGGGTGCCTAATTTCTTGGCTTCGAATGGGCAGTGGATGTTCGCATGTCCGTGTGGACAAACCCATACGATATCTACAGAGGAGAAGGAGCAGCTCATCAACGCGTTGGTTGAGGGCGCAACATGTGTTATGCAGGCCCACCCAAAGCCTGTTCAGATTGAGACGGACGATCAGGGGAAAGAGATGGAAGTTGAAGCGCCTGAGCTGACTGACGCTGCGCCTTCTGCCGTGGCATCTGATACTGCACCTGTGCTCAGCAGTGCCCTGCCCCAGGAGCGGGGAGAACACGGCTAAGGACATGAAATTTGGCATGCCGTATTCAGATCTCCCTCACATCCTCACATCCGGTGATCTGTCAGCTCCCCCTGTTGGTTGTTTAAAGGCTGGATTGATGCTGAGCCTGCTCTCAAAAATGCAAATGATCACGTTCAGGGCTAAAGGGTGTGAAAGGATATGAAATGGGTGCGAAGGCCACGGGGCGGAATGTTCTGGAACTCTAGCAGTTGGTGTGTCTCAGGAGAGTTTGCAGATAAACTGCATGCGATGCTCGGGAAAGCTGGTGTTCTTGCCAGCGGATGTTCCAGCTCCCTGAAGACAGTCAATCGGAATCTGATTACTGGATCGCACACAGCGTGATTTCAACAGGTTCATGTAGCTGGGTGTTGCTTAAGGCATCTTGTTGCCGGCAACACTGTTGCTGGCAATGTGGTCAAGTTTTGCACGTCTTTTGAAGGATGAGGGGCTTGCCGAGCAAGTGAGGCAGAAGCCAGGTCTGCAATTTAAGGAAAGCTAAATGGCTGCCGGCACATGAGCCTACTGACGCTTGGCTCCTGATTTCCGGCTGGTCATATGTGCTTGTGACATGTATTCTTGCTGCTTTCAGCTCCGACAGACAAAATCTAAGCCTTGGTAAGCAGCTTTGTGGGCATAGGTATGAAAAACATAGATTAGCATCAGCGCTCTAGTTCGGGATGAGGATCACCAAATCAGTTCAGGACCACAACAAATGAAATCAGGATGAAAGAATATGAAATCAGGATCTAAAGGCTCAAAGTATTCTCCATGTTTGATCACACTTTATGTTCAGCATATTTCGATACTCCTCATACTTGTCCGCCATTTCATAAATTCTCATCATGTTCATCCTCTTCCATGGTTTTTATTTTCAGAAAATGTCATCTATTTTCATAACATTTTCATTGATTTTCTGGATGCTTCTTGGTTTTGAATCATCACTTTCACTATTCCATGAATTTGCATTTTTCCTCGTTTCCAGTGAAAACATGAACCTGTATCATGCTCGACGGTGATTCCTCCTTCACAGCTGCCACATTCAACTGCAGGGGGCTGCATGGCGCCCCAACCCCCTACTTTAAACATGAATTCCTATCATGTCTAATAGTGGATCCTCATCAACAACTGCCACATTGTTGAATTGTTTGCCAAAGGGGGGTGCTGCCCCCCAAGCCCCTCTCATGTTGTTCAACATAAAATCCGTATCATGCTTAAGAGTGAATACTCATTAACAACTGCGTCGTTCCGCAATGATTTGCTGACAGTCCTCTTCTTTGCCACCGAAAGGCTCCAAAAGCGAGGCCAGTTCTGCGCTTAAGCGATTATCGCCAACATGAGCTTCCGAAAGCGACGACTATTCTGCACTTCGACAAAAGCAATGACTTTTCTGCACTTGGCCACAAGGAGGCTCCAAAAGCCAAGACAGTTCTGCATTTTGAGACCAACGATTTCAGCTCGATGTCGGGTAGGTCATTTTTTATGCTTATGAACATATTTGATGCTTTGCCCCAGTTTGTGTGTTTGGGCAAAGCTGCGCGAGGATACCGCTGAGCCAGGGGAAGCTGTGCAGGACACCAGGCCGGCAGCTGATCTAACGGCTGCCATTGGGGAGACCTTGCTGCCCAGCCGGGAGGAGACGTGGCTGTTTGTGAACTGGTCACCCCCGACATTTGCTTTGGGGAAACGTAGGGGAGCTTCGGAGTTCAAAGCAAGGAGCCTAAGCCAGACGTCGACGTTCCCGCCCTGGATGTTTCTGAACTGGAGCTCCAGGCCACCTAATTTGCTTCTCAAGCAGTCTAAGTATGTCACGCACAGACCCTTCCCAAGCATCTTAACCGTCTCTATTCTTCATTTGAGCCTTTCCCAGTACACGGATGACTTTGATTTTCCCATACTTTAAGACTGCCCATGTCGGAAGGGTTTGGATGGTGCCGCAGTGTGGCTGAAGCGCTTCTCGGAGAAGCTGACTGGGTTGGCCGCAGAACGCTCCACAAAGGCGCGAGCTGTTGAAAGAGCGGGTTCAATGTGAATGCTTCTGCGCTTGCATTCCGTTTGGGCCCCTCGAGCTGTCGAACTTGTTTGTGTGTTGGTGTTGAATGCGGGCCTTTGCCTGAGCAACGTTGTTTAGTGCATTGCGTGGACAGTACGTACTCTTTGCATGCACGTGCTGCAAGTGCAGTACAGTAGGTCATGAAAATCTGGAGAAGCTGAGGCGGCAGCTGTTGAGCTTCTTCTGAAATTGGTGAGAAACGTTGTGAACAGCCCAGATGAGCAGAAGCTTCCCGCCGTCAAGTGAGACCATTTCCACATGAATTGGTTGCGCTTCCTGAAATTCGTGGATGTGCATACAAGAAGCTGATGGCATTTGGAACTCTTGTGGCAAAGCTGACTGAACTAAGACTAGCATGGCTTGTGAACAAAGATGACTGCCCGCGAAAATCAGCAGCCTTTCTGAGCTGAGGTTCCGGAGAATACGAGCAGAGAACCCAGCCATCCGTTCCAGGCAGGTATCAGGGCAGTGTCAATCATTGTATGTCTGCCCAGTCAGAACCAAGCAGGTTAATAACAGCTGGTGGGGATAGAGCAGAAACTTTGATGACTATGCTCGGATTCGAGTCAACGAGGCTCGCTCGAAGTCTGCCTCTCTTTTGGAGTCTTAAGGTGTCGTGTTTTTTTATCCATGTTACAGGGTGGCCAACCTAGGACGGACTCGAATGGCGAACGAGTTTTCGTACTACGTGACGCGTCTTTTGATTATGCGCGTCTCCGGATGGGTCAAGAACTTCTGGAGGCCGGAGGTTTTGATGTTTGGATGGTACAGCTAGGATGAGTCTTGGGTCCCCTGGACCGTTAGGCCGAGTTGGACAAGATGACCGTCACCACTGCGCAGTGATGATGTCTTCAGCTGCATACGCCAAATCCCCTCCCCGTGCCCGTAATTTCATAAGAAAACAACAACAGATTAAGGGGTGAAACTGTGGTGCACTACCGATGAAGCGTAGTGACATAGGGGAGGGTGCTGCTGCTCAAGCGAAGTGCAACCCCTAAAGTCTTTGCGCACTGTTGGCCAGCAGTGTTTTCTTGCCATGGGCCTCCTCTGATTGGCAACCGGACCTTCCTCAGCTAGAAGTGGCTTGGCAATGCTTAGCAGTATCTTCTTAGAAGATTGGAAGTAACAGGAACCGATTATCCGTAACAGTGGAGTGTAACAGGAACTGGCCGCATTCCGTAACAGGAACCGGCGGCCAGTTTCCGTAACAGGGCCGCCGGCCCCTGTGTAACGGGAACCAACCGGGGCCGCGGGAAGCCCACACATGTGTTCAGACGGGCTAAAACATTCTTTTTCGGCCTTTGCCAAAGGGGAACCGATTTTCGGTTCCCCTTGTAGATGCATTTTTTCAGGTATTTCCCGCTTCCTGCCAACCTTCAGAGTACAAATGTCGCAATTTTCAGCCTCCAGTTTTCCTTCTGAAGCAAGGGCAGACATGCGACAAAAGCGTCTGGGGCTTCAGCTGGGACTTCTTGAGTTTAGGGTTTAGGTTTAGGGGTTTCGGTTCCAACTTCTTGGGTTTAGAAATTGTAATTCCATAGCACAGGAACCAACAATTTCCAGTCCCTACTTGGGCCGGAGCCTGATCCAAAACTCTAAACCCTAAACCCTGACCCTTGGAGGCTGAAGATCCAAACCTCTAGCTTGGAGGTTAGGGTTTAGGGTTTTCGGGTTTCAGTTCAGGATGTAGAGGAGAAGGAGTGTAGAAGTAGAACTAGTGGCAGTGCGAGCAGAAAAATGACCAGAATGAGGTACAAGCAAGCTGCAAAGAGGAGTGTAGAAGTAGTACTAGTGGTAGTACGAGCAGAAGAATCAGTAGAGCGAGATACAAGCAAGTTGCAAGACCGTTGCCCTTGAGGGGACCGATTTTCGGTCCCCCACTTTGCGAGATTCGGGCTCCGGGATTTTGGTTCCAGTTTCGGTTCCTTTCCGCCATGGTTTCGGTCACGTTTTGGAGTTTCTTTTACGGTCCCTGCTGATTCCCGTTACAAGTCCCGAAAGCTGGTTCCCGCTATGGCCAAAATGGCTCCCGTTACAGCCCGCACCCTATCTTCACAGGGTCAGGATGTCGATCCCACAAACTGGAGTTTGCAGGTTTTAAGACACTTCCTTCTTCCTGCATGTTCATGTGCTGCTCTGCAGACTGAGGTTGTGTGTACAGTGGCCGGGCAAGCCAGCATGCAGAGTTTTCATACGTGGGAGTGTGCTGAGACGGGATAGATTCGGCTAGATGTGAAGCTTCATTTTTCCATGCAGAATCACCTCTTGCGGATAAAGGTGCCAGACTTGTCCATGCATGCTCACTGACGGACCCGCTGGCAAAGCGTCCCAGACTACTTCCATTGTCCGACAGTGGCCCCAAAGGAGCCAGGTTGGAGTTCCCAGGCTCACAGGCCATGCACAGACCAGTTCTGGCCACGGAGCAAAAGCCAAGCTCACTGCGCTTCTTGTGCTGATGCTCAAAGCATGACAAGTTAGGCATGCTCTTAGCATGGAGAGCGGTACCTGGTTTTGCCGCCGCCTGGGAGTGCCAGCAAAGTCAGCAAGGTCCCGCGGCGAATGACGTGCGTGACGTGTACGCCTTCCTGTCGATGCTGGCCATGTTTTGCTACTTCACGCTTTTGGTGGACTTCAGCACCTTGTTACAGATAGCACTGTGTGCTACCCTTTCCCCAAGTAGATTGAACATGCTGCTCGCCCCCCTTGCTAAGGCGCACTTTTCGTCCGCTGCTCTGCCTTCGTCATGACGTCTGGGCAGGTTCTCCCAGAGTTAGCATCCCTGCTGCATGAGCAGTTTACCGCAGACTGAAACAAGAAAACGTACTCTCCAACTCAACTTCGGCTTCCTGCAAGCCTCCTTCCTGACCAGACCGGCCATGCTGGCTTCCATGGTTCCCTTTGGCCTGTTGATTCTGAGGTTCTTATGCTGGGTGCCGTTTTCTATTTGCTATTGGTGTTTGGCTGCGCAACATCTGCGGCCAGCGACAGAACTGCAGACTTCGAAAACATCCCGCGATCAGCGCTGAGCTTTTTCCAGATCAGCATCGGGATGTATCCGGCTGAGAACTTTCACAGCCTCAAAGATTCCCGCTGGACAATGGTCATGTGCGTGGGTTTCATTGTTTTGGCTTCTTTGGCTGCATGTGGAGCTGCTTAGAGGCGCTCTTTGAAGTGCCAATCCTCTTGCGCGTGCGGCTGCCTCAGGTTGTCATCTTCCTGTCCAATGTCTTAATAGCTCAACTCATTGGAGCATACTCCTCACTGTACGACAGAATGCTCGGCCTCGCGCGGCTCAACCGGAAGCTTGGAAACCCCACTCCTAAAGGTCCTAAATCATCAGTTTTTGAGGTCCAGGTTCCAGGAGGTCTTTTCAAACAGCTTCCGCTTGCTGCCATCGAAGGATGTCCATTATTTGCGACTCCATCGCTTCAGTCCGGCGATCTCGCTTTGATCGCTTCATCGCGAAGCTGAGACTGGACGAGCGCATGGAGTTCGGCGAAGGTGCGGGCTTTTGACAGCAGATAGTCTCAACTGAATTCGAGCAAGTTAGGCGATTTAGCCTTTAAGGTAGATGGGCGATGCCTTCAAACCTATACGACAAAAAAACAGAGCCGCTTCAGGATTGAGCGGATTGAGCTTCTTGCTTCTTTTTGCTGAAGCTTGATGAGAATAACAACCCCATGCTCCGTTACCCCGCAAGCCCAAACAAAAAATGTGGGGCAAGGCTTCATGATCACGTTGGCACCACCCAATCCTCCGACCATGCTAAACACCTTACCTGATCGGGATTGTAGGTGACGTGGGCCTGCCGGGCTGCATTCAAGTTCTCGAGCCTGGCAACTTGAATCCAACCAACCAGGACTGCACCGACTGCATCGCAGGATTTTGTGAACTCACTTTGCTGGAAAACTGTGAGCAAGCTCTTGATTAGAAGTCCCATAGAAGGTTAATCTGGCAACGATACGCGTGAAGTTCAGGGTTTGGTTGTAGGTACTGCGCGTCACGGACCAAGTGTAAGTGTGGTCTGTAGACGTAGATGCCAAAAAAGCATGAGCCTGCGTATCTTTGGCACTGCCTTGAAACCCTTCCTCCTTTCAAAGCCGTCCTCATCGCCAATTTAGGCAAGCATTTATTCTGGGACAGAGGGGTTATATAGGGATAATGGAAAATAAAATGGAAGCTACTATAGTATATTGGGGCTATATAGGGATAATGGAAAATAAAATGGAAACTACTATAGGGAGGGCTCGACACCATGGGAAAGAATTCGCAGTTGCGCGCTGCAAGGACAGCATCAGGCGCTATGGTGGGTCGACTTCGCCGAAGATGCCCTGGCCCGTTCCGCAGCCAACAGGTAAAGGAATGGAAAAGAAAATGTAAACTAGTACAATGGGTTAGAAAAGGGTTATAGGGTTTTATAGGGGTTATATAGGGGTTTATAGGGGTTGTAGATCCACTTCATGAAGTTGAATTGTTGGTGGAGTGGCAGGTAATCTTCCATCATAGCTTGTTCTAATTATTTGGAGTTCAGTTCGCTTCCCGTTCGTTGCCAGTGCCCCGCACCCGCATGTTGTCCCACAGTCTGGAACTGTCTTGCTTTCTACGCATCGTGGCTCAGACTCCCATTGTAGAACTTGCATGTTAAGGACGAAGAGGAAGAAGTAACCGGAAGCATGGCAGAGCGGCTGCTTGGCGATCACTGAGATTAATTACGTTATAACTCAGCCAGGCCATGCCCGACAGCGTGGTACACAATGTGGCTTTTAATTTGATTCATTAAACATGGCATAGCAATGTGGATGACTACGCCCTTCGCCTCGCCTGAAGAACTTTTCAGAAATGGTCAGCCTACCCAAGAAGTTTGCAAAGAGCCTTGTGTGCTGCCAGCATGGAGCGCTCATCAATGTCATGTAGGATGAGAACAGCCAAGGTTAGAAAACTTGACCAAGCTGTGGAAGAAAACCATGACTCTCAGAGCAATTGCATGAGCTTCGGACATCAGCAGACTGCATCTCTGGCCCCTGTGATGGGCATGCTCTTTGAGGAGGCGAGTTGAGAAGAAAAGAAAAGGAGGTCGAAGAAATGGAGGGGAAAGCAGTGCTTCCGAAATGGATGCTTGGCATAGCAGCAAAACTGCAGGATGGTCCTTCCTGCAATGTTATTGCTTGTTATATGCTAAGGACAAAGCAAGCAGAAGCAAGTCTTCCAGCTCAGCACCGCGGTTGATCTAGGAAAACGCTTGCCAAGATTTGTGTGCTGGACTGCCGCATGTAACTGCACCGCTGTGGCAGTGCATTGCTGCCCCTCCAGGTAAACTCTGACTCCTCGCAGTGACGGATGCCATGTCCTTAGCACGCCTTTTCGGGGATAGACTCTTCTCAAGATAGTTTGTGCGTGAGCTCAGGCTGTGGAAGCCAAGCAGGCTGAAAACACTGGCAGGCCAGATGTGTTAGTGCATTTGTTGGTTTTCGAGTGCTCTGGCGCCAGGTGGGCGTGCCACTTGATCCATGTGTGAACAGCTCCAGGCTTCTGGAGCTCTTGCTAATGCAAACATCGTGGGTGAGAAGCCTCGCGACTTCCTCACCTCCAAAGGCAAACGGCAAAAGCCAATCAATGTCAAGTAGCATATCTAGTTTCACTGAGTTTGGGGACCGCTGCTTGTGTGGCCTCCAACCTGTTCAGTGAGACTTGCAGTTTGCAGTCATAGGACTAACGCAGGTTCCCACTCTGAACGGGTCACGCGCATTAGCATAGGGTAGAGCCTCTACAAGGCACTGCCGGCAAGTTGTGAGCACATGGGGATGCCCCCCCCCAAGCAGGAACTGGGGGAATGCGTTGGTGCAATAGGCAGTGCAATGAGCAGATTTAATATCAGGACTCGGATAATCGCAGCAACGCAACTCTTTGCAGCTTTGGCTCGCACCTGTCCTGCTACCACAAGAAGCAGCAGCAGAAGCCGAGCAATCTTTGCATGAGAAAGGAGTGCTGGAACTCGGCTGGCGTAGTCAGCTCCTGCCCAGTTTGCCCATTCGTCATTTTCCATCTGGAACGAAGCTTCAGATGCTCAGTTTTCGAGTGCCTGTGTTCTTGGGGAACGTCTAAAGCAGTGGGAATGATGCACATGAAGGAGTGATGAGGCCTCATGAGTATGCCGGATGGACCCCAAGAAAGTTTCACCATCAAGCACACTGTCCAAGTATGGCCAGGGTGCTTGTTACAGTTTGGTTTCAAATTTCAATTAAAAAAGGTGTCGACTCTGTTTTGGGCATGTGTGGCTCCGTCTGTTTGTCTTGAGTGCTTATTGGTTTGCTAGAAGCCATGAGAGTGTCATCCCAATCAGTCCGCGGAAAATTGGGATGACCCCTAGGGGATATCTACTGAGGGTGCTGCTTCTTGTCAAGATACAGCAAATGTTAATCCGCGAAAGGCCCGCCCCACCGTGCTGGCAGATGAGTAGGCCAGTGGTACGTGTATGGCCGCAACCTGAGTTGCTAAAGTTGGATCCAAGAAGATTGCAACAACCTGAAGTGATACTCCTCAACTTTCCATGTGATCCAGCAACGACACAAGCAAAGGAAACTGTATAGACCTTTTGGTTCCCTCTAAGTAGGCATTTGTACCAGGCACGCAATGCATCTTAGGTTGGAATTAGGCAGTTGACAGGAAAACGTGCGCAACGTGTGGTTTGGAAAGCGGCCTGTGTTTCAGGCTTTGACAACTTCAGCTTGCTTTGCTTGGTATAGCTTTCAAAGCCCATTGTTTTGATGATTTTCGTTTGTGCTCACGGCTTGCAACAGTCACGTGACCCGAGGACACGCTTCCTCAGGTGGACTTATCAGAGGCGCATGGGAATAAAAACATACCCCACATCACCTTGCGCAGCGCTGGACTTGATACATGTTTGGACAAATGATGTTGCGTATGTAGGAGGCGAATGACAAATTCCGCTATTTGGCCTTCAGCATCCTGGGGGTATGGATTGCTGCCATTGGAAGGCGCGTGCGTTTGGAGGTGTCAGTTGGATAGAAGCCCTTTCTTTGTTCCGCAGGAGTTGTTGATCCCTCAGGGTATTTGTTTTGCTTTTCAGGCTTCTACTAAGTAGGGGTAGGTTTGAACACAATTTTTGTTTTTAACCAAAATGCCATAGACATTTAATTCTTGTAGGGTGCCCAAACCTACCCTAGTAAAGGCTAGGTCAGCCAGGCTTGCCTGTGGTGCAGCCTGAAACCGCGAGGCCTTCAGACATGCTTTGCCCTTTTTGGCCCAAGGTGGGAGGAAGGCTGCCAACTTGGTGCTGAAAACGACCTGGTCCCAGGCATCCTTGGTGACGCAGCCTCGGCATTGTGGCAACAGCAATTGTGTTGGTGAGGATAATGACCGTGGTAGCAAAAAATCATGCCTGCAGTGATGATTTTGGGAAGCTTTAGCAGAAGCAGGACTTTCAGGCATAAGCAGTGCGTGATTCACAGCACATGATCGCACACATATGCTGTTTATGATTTGAATGAGTGAAATGGTAGTTTCCATAAATCCGGGGACAACAAAATAGACGTCCAAATACTAGATTACCAGAATCCTTCTTATAAGAACCCCAGAGCAAGGTACCCGTAAATTTGGGGAGTACCCTTAGAGATTGGGGAACCCCCAAATGCACAGCATGAGCTGCAGAATCGAGGTTTGGCTCTTCCAGAACCAGCTCTTTTGCTGCGGCAACTGTGCCAGCCTCGGATACAAGTTGAGACTAGATGCTGTCTGTAAAGGCGCGATACATTTCATGCGAGCCAAGTGGCTTGAGTCGACATTCATGCATGGCCTGGTTGGCCAAGTCGTCGTCGCCGTCTTTCTCGTCGTTGTTAGACAGCGCCTCCTGGTAGATTCCCAGGCGAGAGCAGTGATGACGAGCAGGGGCAAGTCAGAGATCGAACTGGTCTCGTTCGCACAGGTGCTGCCGGGACTTCATGTACGTCTATAGGTGCTAAAGTTGATAATTAGATGTAAGGGAAGAAGTGGATAGCTCCACATAGCACCAGCTTGCTTTGTGAACTTCACAAGGAACATGGGCTGGTACAAAATTAGAGGTCCATCGTCAGAAGGCTGTGATTGCATTGTGGGGATTCCAATCACACATACTGATGTAAACCTGCCAGGCTCAACCTGCCTAATTCCTTTCGTGCTGCTGGCCACTGTTAATGTGCTTTCCCCAGATGCCAGGCAACGTAGGTGCCTACAACAAATGCTGAATATCTTACGCAGCATGGGCAGCCATGCAGCACAAGGCCTTCTTCGACTTCTTGATGGTCGCTGTAGCACTGGCCACAGTTGTCGAAAAAAGGTTGGCCGTTGCTATGATTTTGAACAGAGCATGTTCTCAGGCGTATCCAGAATGCTTCCAGTCTGTGGTGGTAGCGTGGAGCTTAACGAAGGAGGACCCGTGAGAGGTGGCCCTAAGCCTACGAAGGGACAGGTGGATGGTTTTGTGTTGCAGGGGGCCGGGATTGAATAGGAACAGCACCCACCCTGGAAGTGAGCATGAATAAAAGCGGATCCAGTGTTCAGAGCTGCGAGATTCCGTGGCTAGAAGCGCTCACAATATGTAATTTCCACAATAGGGGGACCCAACATAGACACCAGAACACTATAGTCCCCGTATAATCCCATGGTTACTCCTAATTGGAAACCCCAATCCTTACATAAGCCTGGTTTCAGGCTCATTGTCCATTTCATTTTTCTATTTGATTCTCCATTCTTGGCGTACTATCCCGCTATATCAATTGTACCCCTAATTTTGGGAAACCCTAAACCCTGTATATGGTCACACGGTTGATGGCCCCCCCTTCCCCTGTGGGTGGCTGTGGTTGGGGGTTTGCTGTCGATGTGGTTGGGGGTGGCTCTCCCGTATGGTTGGGGTTGGGTGGGATGAAGAGACATGACTTGAGGTCTTCCCGTGCCTCCTGTGGATGTGGCTGGGTGGGGGTCTCACAAAGGGAGGAATTACGTAAGTCATTTCTAAGCTTACGTGGTAGCGGGATGAGAGAAGGTATCTATATGATTAAACAGAATTATGTATAGATGTGTAGATGTAGAGATGGGTCATCGTTCCTATGTAGCCCGTGCAGTGTTTCTGAGGTTTTCAGAGTGTCTTAGAAGGACACATTGGAACACTAGAAATGTAAATACCAACATCACCACAGCCCGAAGGATCGTGCCGCAAACTAGCCCATCCCTGTAACTGTCGGCATGTTTTGCATCTGGTGCACAGAGTCAGACTCCAAAAGTGGCGACAGTCACTAAGATGGCGTGTTCCAGACACCCTTTTGAGATTGCGAGGTCCTAAAAACCACGACGGTCAACTGAGATTCCGTGCGTTCATGGCCCCCCTCCCCCCCGAGAAATACCCTTTAGATATACCCGTAATCTTGGGAGACCGACAATAGGCTACCAGCTTGCATAGAGGCTGAGGGCACCCTCTGTGCCGAATCCTTTTTCACATTCGGCGCTGGAGTCTTCCAGGCACATTCGGGATGTGGGTGGGTTCCCAAAACTAGGGGTACCATCTCAGGGGTCCCAATAAGAAGGACCATAGTATTTGGGGTTTATATTGGGGTTCCCAATTCATGCGAACTAGCACAGTGTCCCGATTTCATGATATCTTTCTCGTTCTCATCAGGCTGAGCACAGAAGAGAGATGTGATATGACAATGGTCCTTTCCAGAGTCCCATTCGTTTGGGTAGGTGGAGGTATTCGGATGCACAGAGGACACTTCTCATCGTCAATCATCACTTGCACGACGGACAAGAGTCGGGATTTCCCAATTCTAGAAGCCGCTCGATTTTCTTCATTCGGTCCAAAGGGCATGTGGCCGCAACAAGTAACTTCAGCCCTTGCAAGGCGTGTGGTGCCGTCCTCGCATTCCAGCCTTGGGCTCAGACAAGTTGTGAAAGATTTGCCCCTTAAGTGTTGCTTCAGAACAGACACCAGTGTAAGAAGCTTCCAGTCCACTAGCAGCGCGACTGGCATGTGCTATCTGGTGTGGGGATGGGGGCACCTGTGCTGATGAAGACCCTAGCAAGAGATTCAAACTGCATAATGCCGGCCTGCATTGAGCCAGCCTACATCCAACTTCTTCTTACGGACAGCAGAACTGACAAGCGAGTCGTTTCCTACTTCTGCCAAACCAGGATCTGGTGGAGTATGCCTCAAAGCTCGGGCTACAGCTTGGTTTTGCAGGACGATGCTTCCGACTGCAATGCCATGCTCTGGGTATATGTGACTGCTGAAGGCTTTGCCTGAAGTCCAGAAAGCTTATCATTGGACACATGCCTTTGACACGACT